CAACGAACTGGGGAGAGCATCGGTCATCGTACATCCATTGCCGGCTCATCTTCATTACACAACACTGAATAGACCAAATTAATACAAGTTCACACATAAAGTTCATACAACACTTAAATGCAACAAACACATAACTCTCTAGCTAAAGCATTTAAATGCAACAACAAATGCGATCAAGATCGCAACTAAGGTAACAATTGATCCAACAGCATAATGATACCAAGCCTCACTATCGATGGCATATTTTCTAATCTTTCTAATCTTCAAGCGCATTTTCTCCATCTTGATCTTGTGATCATCGACGACATCGGCAACGTGAAACTCCACTTCCATCTTCTCCCCCTCAATTCTTTTCAATTTTTCTTTCAAGTACTCGTTTTCTCTTTCAACTAAATTTAACCTCTCGACATAGGGTCGGTTGGAATTTCCGGTTCACATACCTCCTAGATAAAAATATCTATGTCAACTTGATGGGCATAATTTGTCATAAACACGAAATGCAACAAATAGTTTTAAAAGAGAATATACCACATCCGAATCATAACAGGGACGAGGGCCGACGGGGATGGATATCAAAACCATGGCACTATGTATAACAAACAACGTACGGGTAAGATAATTATTATACGAGTAACTATATATCCAAATCACACAAACATCAATTTTTTATATAAAATTTCATGAACAAGAGGCTCACCACAAGGTGGTGCCGGCGATGGGACGGTGCGGGCGATCGACGGTGGTTACGACAGAGAGTTAGAAGGCACTAAGTAAACCACACCTACATATGCAAACTAAGTGTTATTTTAACCTCAAATTGCATATAAATCAAATACTAGCACATATATATATCTCCTCCCAAATTACTAAACTCACAAATTAATAACTATATAAAGCATTGCAAGAGCTAATCTAGCAATGAGAGATGAAAGGACAAAGTTGCTAACCTTTGTGATCATTTGAATGGATGGGGGCCTTCAAATCTTGACAAATTTTGGGCAAAATGTGTGATGAGCTCGAGAGGAAGAGGGGAAGAACAGAGAGGAGAGGGGAAAGGGGAAGAACAGAGCGAGCTCGGGTGGACGAAGGGCTTATGTAGGACGACCTTTAGTACCGGTTCGTGCCAAGAACCGGTACTGAAGGTGTTGAAGGGGGCCCAGACTGACAACATCCTGCCACCACTCTCATTAGTACCGGTTCGTGGCATGAACCGATGCTAAAGGTTAGCCACGAACCGGTATTAATGAGAGCGGCCCGGCTAGCCGTTGGAACCGGCACTAATGTATACATTTGTGCTGGCTCAAATACAAACCGGCTGCTTCACGTTTGACCCTTTTTCTACTAGTGCACCATACTAGTCCTACTAATCCCAGCAGATACCAAAATAGTTAGTTCACATAAGGCCAGTGAAACTTGTGTGCGTCAGAAATGCCCACATTAACACTCTTTTCTGCTCCTCGTTTGGGGCACAAATGCTAGACAACTCTGCGTGTCTTGCAAGTTCTCAAGCGATTTTCTGAAGTTGTTGGGGAGCTAAGCGCTGAGTGTTAGTTCTGTAACTAATTTTCAGGTATTACTATTGTAGATGCTCGCTCTAGCAGATAGAGGTTCTACCCGCTTGGGGAAAATGTATTTACTAGACTATATTGAAAAGAACCCCATCGGGAAGACGTCAAGAATTCATAAAAAGATTACAAAAATCTCAAACTACCAAGATTAGCTCTTTATTTGCAAAGATCAACTCCAAGAAAAGACCAACTCCAAAAATGAAAACGATACTGAGGGGGTATGAAAAAAAAAATGAAACTCCATGGGCACTAGCACCCACGGTTTATTGATATAGAAGAAGCATCCCTCGTGAGAATTCCAGAAATTCGTCCCCGACGTGGATCGAACTCTGGTCGTTGGGTTTACAATCATGCGCCCCCAACCAGGGGGTATGGTGCACCATCTAGATTGGTCGCTAAATCTTCTATTTTTTATCCCGCCAATTATGCTGCATTTTTCTTTATAAATACTGAACTTCTTTGTGAAGTACAAAATCACTCTTTTTGAGGAAAAGAAGATGAAGACCCTCAAGCACACCTACCATAAAAAATGTATAAAAATTGGAGGCAGTTGGAGCCTGCGCGCCTCATCCAGAGCACAAGACGGCCAACCATAAGACCGCCTCCTGGTCAACTACTTCACCCTCGTGGAGTCGGATCGGGGATCAGATGCCCACAGCCTATAGAAACGCATCCAGAACACATAACCCTAGCCTCCGGAAGGCATCCGGAGGGGTAATCAGTCCAAGGACTTCACCGCCGCAACGCTACATCAAGAGGGCTTCACCATCATCATCACCATCACCATCACCATTACCATCTCATTCCTATCCATCTGTAATACAGTAGTTGGAGTGGATTCAATCGTGTATTACCTTTGTGAACTCATCATGATCATCATAATTCATCTCGTTTCAATCATGCCCTCGATGCACAAGTAGTTTCCCTAGTTCTCAGGGATATGAAGGAAACCCTAGTATGTAATAGATCATTTGGTATTAGAATCTAATATCCTCTTTAGGTTGGAGGTACAATTGCAAGATCTCTGACCAGTCCTTGTACCCGGTGACTCAGAAACCTTCATTGACTCCAGAAGAGAAGATGCGGCATGGTACAAGCGCAAGTGCTCATACCGACCATCATACCAAGTATCCCTAAAACTCCAGTTTGCATTTTACATGCAATACAGCGTGTGATACAAGCACAAGCGCTTGTATCCGCGCTCGTACCATGTGAAATTTGGTTCTTAAGAGTCCAGCGGCGGAGATGAGGGCTATTCCAGCCATTACTTTATGGCTCCCTCTCTCCTCTCTCATACTCACACCCTAAATCCTGGCAAACCTTCATTTTTTTCACCATTTTGCTTTGTTTGAGTCGGGGAATCTTCTCCACAGTAAGTTTCTCCCATGATGCATGGTTTATTTTTCTGCAATCCTTGGTTATTTCTCTTGCATTATAAATTTAGATGAGAATGGTAATACTTTGATTTCTCATTTAATATAAATGTTAGAGTCTGTAGAAAATATATAGGAACGATTATATGCGTTGCATGAACTTGAAACCTACAAGGAGATCACCCACGAGTTCCTTGCCACCTTCAAGGATAAACTCGATATCAGCCAGTGGTGTGGGGTAACAGCGGACAAGTGACAACGATGATGCCGACTCACATGGACTGACCGTCAGCCTCTGCCCAATTAGTGCATATTGTGTTATTCATTTTTATTTCATTTTCTTATCTTGTTGTGTAAGTTCGAACATTAAGTTGTTTCATTTTCCTTATCGGAGATGAAACTGATCCCAAATTGAGGAGGAACTAATGGTTGAGTTCCCGGTTCTCTAGAGTTTACTTAGAATACCACCAATTTATACTAAAAACTTTTACTTTTTGTAAGTCACATTTTAACTAAATCTTATATTTGAATATAAACTTTACATACAAGTTTAATTGATATTTCTCTATTTTGTTTAATAAGATTAAAAACAAAAATATATTCATCATAATCTAAATCGTGGTTCAGAACTATAAAATTCATCAATCGTGTGCAAAAGTAGAACTACATTTTGCAAGGAAATAATAATATTTACTGCCTTCAGTTTGGAATTTTAGTTCAATTGAATTATGCTAACCTAAGAAAAACACAAAGATATGACAAAATCATATTTATCCACGGATTATCTTGCGACGCTTGGATTTAGTGTAGTGTGTTTATATCGATTTTAGTGCTTCTAAATATCTTGATGAAGTTTACTGCAATGTATGGGTCCAACAAATATCTTTATAAAGATTTGTTGACTAGCTTAGTTGCAGACACTAAAAGATTGTGGAACATGCGAGTGTCTACAAGTTATTTTTCATCAGTGTCACCTCTCTCGCCTTGGTCGAATGGTATTGTTCATCCCATGTGACGGTGAATCTTCGCCTTAGCGAACATCCATGCCCGTTCTCTGTCCATGTAACAACATTATGTAGCCAAGTACTATCAAACTGGGCTTGGCTTGAAGGTGTAAGAAAATATATGATGCAGCTACCCGACTTTACTTTTCGTGCCTTGAAGGTGGAGAAACGTAACCTGAAGAGGAGTTCACAAGCTTGGGCTTTCTCTACGCAAAGACGTCCTGGATCAAGCAGCTCCAGGCTTCCGGGTTAGCAAATGAAATCCAAAACTTTACGAAATTCAGTCCAAAACTTTACGAAATCGTATCTCCAGGTCCAGGGTAACAAATTCAGTCCAAAAACTTTACGAAATTCGACAGTCAGGGAAACGCTTTGTTCAGACCAGATAAAAGCACAAGCAACATCCATTAGCATGCAAAAATAGACTTTCAGCATAGTTGTATCCCCGTGTATATAAAGTAACTAATCTTCGTAAAAACATACAGATCAAAACAGCAATCGCCTGTCCCGCAGACACTATTCAGTATGCAAAAATCTCATGCTTTGCTCACCGTGCAGTACATACAGATCATTACATACTCTACACTATTCAGTATCGCTGGCAAAAACGTAGCAATGTGTTATGTGCTGGACGAAGAGCATTAATACGGTGCACAACATAGTTGGAAAGGAAAATTGTATCCTAGCAAAGTCATGAATTCGGCAGTCCTCTGTTTGGGAAATGCTTTATTCAGGTTAAATAAGAGTACAAGTAACATCCACTAGCAGACTCTCAGCATAGCTGTATACCCGTGTAACTAATTGCCGTAGTGCATCGTAACCGGCAGATGCTATTCGCGCTATGAAAAATTGTGATATCCAGGCATGTCATTCTATCTCCTTCCTCGTGCATATGCTATCACTGTACAATATATACACGTTGTATATCGCTAGCAAAAAAAAAAAAAGTAGCAGTTCTGCACCGGATGCAGGGTGCACGGTGCACTCCAACACTTCATAGGATATCCCTGAGATGCTTGGTGTTGGATCAGTTTCACAAGCACTGGAAGAGGGTTCTACTCATGCAATTCGTTGTACGATGACGTGTTCACTGGCCTCCTGCTGTGCCGCTCCGCGATCATCTTCAGCCCCATGTACCTGTCAAATGTCAATACGCAAGGCAATCAATTACTATCTCAGTTAGTACTAGTATATAACATTGCTCAAAATGAATGCAAGCAGAAGAACTATATATCCCAGCTCATACCTGCCCATCATCATCACCGTGGCCTGAGGATTCGTCCCGGGCGTCACACTGAACGTCGACCCATCCACCACGCGAAGAGACTGCGTGCCCATGACCCGGAAATCCTTGTCAACCACCCTTCCAACCACACACCCTCCATGGTAATGCCACAGCGTGGCCACGGTCCGCCGGCAGAACTCCGCCACAGCAGTGTTGTTTGTGCTCCAGTCGAGTGGCAGGGTAGCCCCAACGATCCTGAAGTCCCTCCTAGCACGCCCTCTCCTGCCCTGGCTCGACGTTCCTACGGCCGAACGGAATATGTCCATCGTCCTACTCTGGAGCACCTGTGCCACGCGGCGCACGCCGACGACACACTGTGCCAGGTCCTCAGGGCGGCTGAAGTAGTTGAAGCGCACCGAGGGGGTCTCCATGGGATTGGGTGATGATAGCCAGAGCGAGCCCTCGGATAACGGGCCAGGGACCTTCTCCATGATGGTTGCCATGGTGACATAGAGTGGCGAAGTAGGGCTGATGAAAGGGCCGGCGGGGCGCAGCATGGGAGAAACGGGGACGATGTACGACGCGGCCTCGAGGTAGGAGGCAGTGCCATTGGCAGAAGGGATGCCGACCACCTGGATGAGGGAATGGTCGATGGGGACTGATGGGATGATGGAGATGCCGTTGCGAGGGTTGTCGAACATATGCTTCCCAACGTCAGGGGAATCAACAGAAACAGGGATGCCGAGGGATGCAAGATCGCTAGCAGCACCAACGCCACTGAGAAGCAGCAACTGGGGACTTCCAAGTGTACCTGCAGAAAGTATGACCTCCCCACCTGGACGCAGCAGGGCATGGTGCTGCTGGAGAAGACGGTCCTGGTACACGACACCAACTGCTGCTACTGCTGGTCGTGACCTTCCACGGCGTGCGGCTGGATAATACATACAGAAAAAGGGCAAAGTTTACTCATACTTGCACACTTTTAGAGCTAAAAAAACGTATGTGCTGGTAATATGAAACGCCATTGGTTCAGGATAATTCTTATATAGCTAATGTGGAAAGGGGCTAATCTAGTACAAGTAGATTCCACCATGAAGCTTCTTTTTTCCTCAAAATGTTAAGCAAGCATAAGTGACATGAATAAATACCACAAAAGTTTCAGTTTGCACCATTAAGCATAAGTGATAGTAGCTAATGTGGAAAGGAGCTAATCTAGTCTAAGTAGATTCCACCATTAAGCTTCTTTTTTCCACAAAATGTTAAGCAAGCATAAAGTGACATGAATAAATACCACAAAAGTTTCAGTTTGCAGTGGCAGTTACACAAAGAGTAAGTTGTGATCAGTAATTTGGTATGTTCTGATATTTCGGAAATGCATGATATATATGGCAACTTCTGCAGTTATGTGGGCTCTTTGGAAAATAAGAAATAATACACACTCTCAAAATGTTAATTAGAGCTCTATGTAGAATACTTTGGAGGAAAATTGTGCAAACACTCGAGAACTGGTGTTTGCCGTGCCAAGACAAGGTTCTGTGGTCATTTTAGTGGGACTATGGGGCAAAAAGCGCTGGCGCCACTAAGAGTAGGAATGTAGGATGGCTCTGAGTAAACTGAAGACAACAGGAGGCAGCAGTGGAGCTTGAAGAAAAAATATTTATGGGGCAAAGCTAAGAGGAAGAACACCAATTATTTGCATTCAACACATGTCATTCTGGCACATCCTCGAAGGAACAATTGCTATAACAGGACCACAAGAGAGGGCTGTTAATTTTGAACTGAGTTGAATTAGAGGACTACTATGGTTGTTTTGTTAACAGATACTCAAGAATCACTTGAACAAGAAAAAATACAAAATAACCAGTTGTCCAGTACAACTGCTACTTGTTTATATTCCCAAGTGTCTCAATAATGCATATTTTGTTTGTGAAACCTATAAGGTCTCAAAATGTTAGTTAGAGCTCTATGCAGAATACTTTGGAGGAAAACTGTGCAAACGCTCAAGAACTGGTACTTGCTGTACCAGGACAAGGTTGCGTGATTATTTTAATGGGACTTTGGGGCGAAAAGTGTTGGCACCACTAAGAGTAGGAATGTAGGATGGCTCTGAGGAATCTGAAGACAACAGGAGGCAGCAGTGGAGCTTGAAGAAAAATATTTAGGGGCCAAAACTAGAGGAAAACACCAATTGTTCACATTGAACACATATGTCATTCTGGCGTATCCTTGAAGGAACAATTCTTATAACAGGAACACAAGAGGGGGCTGTTGATTTTGATGAGAACTGAATCAGAGCACTACTAATGTTATTCTGTTAACAGATACTCAAACATTACTGGAACAAGAAAATTTGCAGAACATCTAGTTGTCCACTGCAAGTGCTACTTGTTTCTCCATACGAGTCTCAAAAATGATTATTTTGTGTGTGAAACATACAAGGTCTTCAGTTACCAAGCTACTACAGTGGATTAATTAGGAAAGAAAACTTTTACTATTCTAATCTAGGTACAGCCCCTCACAAGTAGCATATCTCATACAGAAACAAGCAAACAAAACAATAATACAAGTTTGTTCACACTCTGTTGTGCACATCAGCATTTTCGCATAGCTTGCCGCTCAGAAATCAGCATTAGTCTAGACTCTTGCTATTATGTGAGTCCAGGAGGTCCAATAGTTACTTTGATTATCATGCATTACATATACAGCAGCTCGCTCTTCCTAGAAATGCAGCATTCAAACAGTTGGCATGATCAAACAAACGGTAACCAAACTGATGCAAGGCAGTGAGGATACCACTTACTAATGCGGTCATGGACTATGGCAAGTCAAAATTCGCATTTCAGACATAATTTTGTGGCAATGTATTATGCACCAATATGGCAAACAAATTCAAATTTTCTAAAGTAGAACTATGTGGACAAACAAGCAAGAAGCAGAATAAGAAATCACTCACCGGGATCAATAGGGTTAATTATGACGCGGGTAACGACAGCACGGACAGCGACATGGAGACGTCCAGGGCGGGCGAAAGCAAGGAGGTCCGCGGCGCTGTGGCGGCGTCCTGATGCATCAAAGGTGGTGGCACCAATCTTTGTGCCAGTGACATGTTCCACCGTGAAGCCGTTCCACGGCGTCACATTAGCTTCCAGCAGCGCGGCCCTCACCGCCGCCTGCCACCCGTGCACCTCCGGCTGGAATGTCAGCTCTTGCTCCACCCACTCGTATGATGAGTTCACCAGCCGCATGTCCCAATCCGGCACCTCGGCGTCCTGAATCTCCAACAATCAACAGAGAAATGTCACTTTCAGAAGTGTTAATCGTTGTAACCCTTTTGGGATGAATGTTCTTATTTTGGATATCATGATTGGGCTTTATTACTACTCAATTTTGAATAATCCTTCTAGTTCAAACTAAATAAAGGATTTGGGGAACCGGACCTCCCCGTGGCCGTGGAACCAGCCGGGGTGCGCGCGGGAGTAGAAGCCGGCGTTGATGGCAGTGCCGCCGCCGAGCACCCGCGCGCGCACGTTGGGGACGCCGTCCTCGGAGCTGAAGGCCTGCGCGGGCGCGTCGGAGTCCGGCGAGGGGTCGGCGAGCGCGAGCGTCCTGACGAAGCCGCCGGCGGTGGCGAGCGCCGGGAACTCGGCGGGCGCGCCGCCGCGCTCGAGCAGCAGCACGCGGCCCCCGCCGGGCCCCGCGAGCGTGGCCGCCAGCGGGCACCCCGCCGCGCCGCCCCCCACCACGATGTAGTCGTACTCCTCCTCCGCGCCCGTCGCCGTCGCGTCGGACACGTACCGCGCGTACCCCGGCGGCGCCCCTGCGGAGGAGCACACGAGTTAGACGCCCAGCGGCCAGATCTCGCG